GAAGCCCACACCCCAAGGGGTGCAGCTGCTGCGTCGGGCAGCCTGGGGTGGTGGGGGCGGAGCCTGTGGAGGCACTGACAGAGAAGCCTGCAGCAGAGCCGGCAGAGGCACCAGCAGCGGAGCCTGTGGAGGCACCGGCAGGAAAGCCGGCAGCGGAGCCAGCAGCAAGGCCGACGGAGGTAGAGGCAGTGAAGCTGGTTGCAGAATCGGCAGGGACGCCAACTGGCAAGCCGGCAGGGATGCCGACAAGGGGAGTAGCGGTGAGTGGCAAGCGCAAAGGAAGAGACAAGAGCCGAGGAGGCAAGAGCAACTACAGGGAAGTCCGGAGAGGAGGTAACAAGGGCGGGGCCAACAGGAACCCCAACGGGGATAGCCGTGGGGTGCGGCAGAAGACCCCAAGCAGAGATGGTTAAGCGGTGGACGGGCCCACAATATCCCAAGAAGACTCGGCTGGGACGCCATACCCAAGTGGGGCAAGCAACTGGGGCTGGGGCACCTAGGCATACAGAAAACACGGGGCCCATAGGCTAAGGGCACTCTTTATTCCTTTGTGGCCTCCAGGTCCACCGGTCGCATCTCTTCGGCAGTCACGGTGGTGGGGAATCGCACGTTATGTCACAGGGTGGTTGGAATAGGGCACTAGGGATACAGGTTAGTTGGATCTAGGTCCAAGGGCCTCGAAGCCTTCACGCTCGAGCCGCAACCCGGGGACACTAAGATTCATGGCTGGAGGGCCACGGGAGGCTGGGGAAGAAGCTGAGTGGAACCAGGGACGCCAAAGGGCCAGAAGACCTGCGACCGAAGGTGGCAAGTGGCCGGAGTGTAGGGGAGGTTGGAGTCCCGCGAGTGCCCGCCGAGAGGCGTGACGACGCTGGAGGCTGCCTCGAAGGGGAACCCCTCCACTGAGGTTCCATTCGAAGTCGTGGCAGGCGAGTTAAGGGGATCCCTGGACATCAGCCGGGGTAGGCTTTGGGGTCTACTCACTACTAACAGGCATCTACATATAATACATATAATAAAGCCCCTTTCAATGAGCAAACCAGATTTTTTTAAATAGGAGTAGCAGCAGCAGTAGCTTCAAGAGAAACTTAATACAAAATGCAATAAAAAAAAACTGACCTAATTAAAAAAAAAAAAAAGAACAAACCCTAACTCAAGGAAACAAGGACAGTTGTGACATCTAAAAGACTGTGCTAGCTGTATATCATTTATATTATTCTAGTATTCATTACAATAAGAGTATAAAAAAAAAGAGTGATGCTGTAGCCAGATGATGCAGAAATTATGCAAGCAGCAAGGATTTCTCTCAGGTGTTCTTTACTATGTTGTTCCTGGATTATTCTGGTCTGACCTGATGAAGAATGCAAGACATTCTTCATCAGGTCAGACCAGAATAATTTTTATATTAATAAATGTTGATAGAAAAAAATTGCCCAAGTATCGAAAGATTGATCTGGGCACACAAATGTAAGGTTCTCCACTTTGGGAGGAAAAACCCACAGCATGCTTATAGGCTTCGCGGTGCTACGCTGGTTAGCACTACGGACAAAAGGGACTTGGGGGTCATGACTGACCACAAGATGAACATGAGCCACCAATGTGATGCTGCAGCTAGTAAAGCGAGCAAAACACTGGCTTGCATCCATAGATGCTTCTCGAGTAAATCCCAGGATGTCATTCTCTTGTTGTACTCGGCCTTGGTGAGGCCGCAGCTGGAGTACTGCGTCCAGTTTTGGGCTCCACAATTCAAAAAGGATGTGTATAAGTTTGAGAGGGTGCAGAGGGGAGCCACGCACATGATCAGAGGTCAGGAAAACAGGCCTTATGACGAAAAGCTGAGAGTCGTGGGTCTCTTCAGCCTGGAAAAAGTGCAGACTCAGGGGTGATTTGATGACCACCTATAAGTTTATCAGGGGTGCTCACCAGGATCTGGGGGAACATCTGTTCACCAGAGCGCCCCAAGGAATGACAAGGTTGAACGGTCACAAACTCCATGACTGTTTCAGGCTGGACATAAGGAAGAACTTCTTTACTGTCCCCAAGGTTTGGAATAGACTGCCACCAGAGGTGGTTCAAGCGCCTACCTTGAACGCCTTCAAAAGACATTTGTATATTTATCTTGCTGGGAGCCTATGATCCCTGCTGACTTCCTGCCCCTGGGGCACGGGGCTAGACTCAATGATCTTCTGAGGTCCCTTCCAGCTCTAGTGTCTATGAAAATCTAAATAATGTAGTCCCAAATTCTCAGGATTTACTGTAGCCAGACAAGATGTGAATCAGATTAGGAAAGGCCTTAACTTGGTATACAAAAAACACCAGTGTTTTACTTTCTCTAGATGCAGAAAAAGCCTTTGACAAGGGAGAACGGGTGTTGTACTAGAGAAATTTGGTCTTGGAGACAAAGTGGAGATACAGTAATTAAACCTCTGTTAAGGACCCTGGAGCTGCTGTACTAGTGAATGGAACCCTGTCACACACATTTAAATTGACAAGAGAAACTAGGCAGGGTCCCCACTATTGCCTCTCTACTCTCACTCTAGCCATAAAACTTCTAGCTACTGCAATCAGGCAAGGTTCCAGATAAAAAGTGGGGGGGCATGGTGATTCAGAAGCAAAACATAAAATAGTTCTCTATGTAGATGTTTTTTGTAAAAAAACAAAAAACAAAAAAATTCTTCCTCCCTATAATCAATCGTATTCACAATAAATAGATGCTGCTCCATCTCTGGATATAAAATTAATTAGGATAAACCAGAAATGTTAGATGCTAGTATCCCTGAGAAACTTAAATTTATAATTGTTCATCTTCCTGCTTAAGTGGGTTAAAAATTCAATGAGATAACTGAGTATTAACCTTGCAGAAAGACATAAGGATCTTTTTAATGATAAATATTTAGTGGTCTGGTCTAAAAATAGCAAAAAAGCATTGGGATGGAGATTTCTTGGATACGCAGAATAGCAACCATTGAAATTAATATACTCTCAACGCTCTCCTTTCTTTTCTGACGTTTACCTATATGTGTACCAGATAGCACCTTAAGGACTTGGCAAGTTGTTTTCTTAAACTTCATCTGGAAAAATAAGAGGCATTATTTTTGCTACTATTTAGTTCGTCTAATAAAATATATCACCTCTTGCCCAAGAGCTTTGTTTACTAGTATTACACAGCCTTTCTAAAATGGGAGGTCTTAAAGTTCCTGACATAATGAGATATTATCACACAGGTGAAAAATATTCAGTTAAAGAACATTATAAACAGGTGTATGAAAACTTACTCAAAAGGTGTAGACTGCTTCAGAGTGAGAATGGTATGAGAAAATAGATTTCCCAAATATATATTGGGTAAGAGAAATTCAGGCCAAAAAACAAACACTAACAAAGAGAGAGACCACTTCTTTTATACAGACCATGTTAAAGTTCCCAGGATAAATATGAAAAGCTGCTTTCCCCTGATTTTTTTCCCCAGCCTGTTAACAACCTTTGTTAAAAATAAAGATTCCTCCCTAGAATTTATCAAATATGCAACTCTGTATGGGTAAAGGCAGGTCATACGTAATTAAGCCAACTCTTTTTGGGAGAAAATATGGGATTTTATAAAGAAATTTTGATAACCCTAATGGAACAAGAGTCCTTTTTTTAGTATCTTCAAATGAGAAATGTAATCACAGTTACCAAATACAGTCTCACTAGATCGTTTCACCCCTCTGAGCAATTGCCATATATGAACTGAATAGAAAAAAAGATTAGTCCTTAAAATAAATGTAATTTTAATGGAAAGGGGATGGATACCAAGACTAAGCAAATGAAATCCTGGAAAAGATCCGGGGGGAAAAATAAACCTGAACAATGGATAACATTTTGGGACTGAGGCTATTCATCTTCCATGTGTTTTTAGAGAACACATTTATAACATATATGCCACAGCTGGTGCTGGGGTGGATCCAGGGATGTGTGCACTGTGACTGCACTCCCTTCAAACTATGGGCTTGTCAGTGCAGATGCTGTGTTTGAGTAGCAGCAATGTTCGTCCTTTGGGTATGAGCGCTGCGCTCTCTCCCCACCCCCTTACTCACCATCATATTACGAGTGTTCACAGTCTGTTGGCAATTTAAAAAAAAATCATTGGTGAAAAAAAAAAAAAATAAAATAGGGGGTGAGGGGGAGGAGGAGTGGTGAATGGCACTGGCATTCACTTCCTGGATTATGGAGTCATGCCAATACACTGGCTCCAGCAGTTGCACCAACAAGCCACTGCCCCTGCCAGAAGTGGAGCATCTGGCCTATGAGAAGCCCCATGGTCTGGATCCAACCCACAGGGCCAAATAAGGTGTATAATCCCCATGTGAACTCCATATCCACACCTGAACGCTACCTATCTCTAACTAGGATCCAAAACATTTTCTAATAGTGATACATCAGACTGAAGAGGCTGCAAAGAAAGATATTTATTTTTCCGTATGTGGTACTTGTGCCCAAAGGTCCAAATTATTCTGGTCATGTCCCTCTAGAATATAACTGTTGTGATAGGTGGTAATATCCTGTATATTCCTTCTGCATTAGTATTTTATTTCTATAGTTGCCAAAGTGTTGCATCTTTGTTCAGATACAGGTGTGAGCAGGTGATTTCAAAGAAGAGATGGTAATCCCACCTCCTCCGTTTGATTTTGAAATTGGGACCAAGAAAGAAAAGGCACCAGCAGCATCTAAAAATCACTAGGAATATTTGATATTTTGTCCTGCTAAACCTGGGAAAGGATTAAGACAAACAAACCAAAAGATTAAAACAAAAACCACCCCAAACCCCTTACCTCTGGACATACAACCAAAATAGGCCCAGTTCTGTTCTCAAAACTCCAGACGACTTCATCAAAAACAGGAACATGCCCTGCATTTCCTAAATGAGCAGACAGCTCTGGAATAAAAAACTAAGAAGAGGGGGATGCAATTCTAGTTCAACAAATCACCATAGAGTAAATAACATCCTATAGTGTGAAAATTACCTGTCCGAGAACTGACTTAGCCAGGCTGATGCAGGGTTGGTTAAAGTAGTCAGACCCAAGCTGAGAAGTGTTCTTCTCTATTATGAAGTATTTGCTGCTTAATGGAGAGGAATTCCCATCTGGATCAACTGCCAGGGTTCCAGGGATTTCAGCTGGAAGCAAGGTGGATTTTCTTTGGACGGCATTTAGATGAGCTAACTGGTTTTTTTTTCTTGGCATTATCCTAGAAATAATATTTTTAAATAAATAAATGCATTTAGAAGAATTCATTTTTGTTTTTAAACTTTTATTTAAAATGATCTGAAAACCCTGGACAACCTAAATACACAGTAACTACAGATAATGTACATAGATAGCTGTGTCTATGGCTGTACTTTGAATAGTAACTGTTAAATGTCAGTGTCAAGGTTCTTCAATTTTCATTTTTAAGGATTCCAGATCAAATCAAATCTGTTACATAAACCAGTAAAAATATAATTTGCTAACTGCCAGCCTACAAAATAAACTTGGGATATGTAAGTTAAGGGGTACCAATAACAAAATTATTTATCTGGAATTTAAGATAATTAACAGGATTATTAATTAACTACAATTACTAACCATGTTCATAGTTTACAAAACAGAATAATCTAGCAGGCAGTGCTGATTGAGGAAGGCTCCCTGGAGCAAAGAACAACTAACAAGTTGGTAAAATAACTGGATAATACACAAAGGGCTGAAAAGTTGAATAAGAAATTCATTTTTACTCAGCCACTTGCTCTAGTAACAAACTCTTAATTTGATCATTCTGCAGTAACATATCCACTATAGAAAAGTTTGCCTAAAAATTTCCATTAGACCTGCATGAAATGACTTAATAGTTCAATCCTTGAGCCACAGATCCACCAGCAGAAGTTGGGACTGGGACCAGGGAGGGCAGGCCACAGGCCAGAATTTCTCTACTTTTCCTGCCTCAGCTCTCTCTTCTCTGATACAAGGTTGAGACATTTTACATTAAAATGGGCAGCCCCTTGGTTGAGGACGTAGTGCCACTAGAGTCGGTCAGCAGCCAGCTCTTCCCAAGTCTTGATGTCAGCATCCGTTTTCTTGAAGTATGCTTGCAGTATGTCCTTGTGGCATTTTATCTGGTCACTGTGAGATCTTAGGCCATTACGAAGCTGGGAATCAAGCAGTAGTTTTGAGAGTAGAGACTCAGGTATCTGCACACAACGTCCGATCCAGCAAAGTTGGTGCTTGAGGATCGCTGACTCATTGCTGGTAACACTGGCTTCAACAAAGATGCTGGCATTTATGCAGCGATCTTTCCATGTGATGTGGTGGATTTTCTGGAGGCATCATTGGTGACAGTAAGTCATCCATGTTTCACATCCATAGGAGGAGAGTGGGGATGACGACTGCATTGTAGACCTGGATCTTGGTGTCTTTCCAGAGACTATGATGAGTCAAAACAAGCCAAAGCAATTTCCCAAAGGAGGCACTTGGGCACTGGATCTCCTCCTCAAATATTCACTCTGACAGGTGGCTACAGAGGTAGGGGAAGTACTTGACTACCTCCAGGGTCTTTCCCTTGATGATAATTTAGAGAGGGGGGGTCACATTCATGGCCTGGGGCAGACAAGTCTTCTTGATGTTGAGAAGCAGGCCCAAAGTTTAGCAAACTTCTCTGAAAAATCCCAGCACAGTCTGGAGGCTTTCCTCAATGTGCACAAGGATAGTGCAGTCATTGGCATATTGAAAGTCAAGAATGGTTGTTTTTGAGTACTTTGACCAAAACATCCTAGACTGAAGATCCTTCCACCCATTCGGTATTCAATATCAATTCCAGAAGGAAGACGGTTCTTAATGCGAACGAAGATGGCTGTCAAAAAATGGACAGAGTTGGAGTAATGATACAACCCTGCTTGACCCCAATTCAAATGACAAGTGGATCCATCTCCAATCCACTACATAGAACAGTTGCAGCCAGGACCTTGATATACTTTTCTGGACTTCCAAATCTGGCCAGTACTTTCCACAAGGCTTTGCAACTGATAGAATCAAAGGCCTCAGTGAGATTAATGAAGGCTATATACAGGTCTTGGTGTTATTCCCTACTGCTTTTCTGGGACCTGGGACCAAAGAGCACATCAACTGCCCCATAGGGTGGTCTGAAACTACCGAGATTCCAGCAGGATTTCCTCAGCAAGGGGTAGATGATGATTCAAGAGGATGTAGATGTGGATTTTCCCTCCTGTGAAAAGGAGGACACTACACTTCAATAGGTCCACACACAGTCTTACCTCTTTTCTTGAAGACAGTTGGCATTCCTAAGGTCCCCACAGATCTTTGCTGTTCCAAACACACAGAATAAATTTGTGGAGTCTCAGCAGTAGTTCCCTGACACCAGCCTTATGCATTTCAGCAGGTATGTCATCCATCCCAGTAGTGGTGTTGTTCTTAGTTTCCATCATGGCATGCCAGACTTCTTCTAGGATAGAAGGGTTGGCAAGGGAACCCTTTTCAGGGTGTTAGGGGGATGGAGTCAATGATGGTATCCACCACTGTGGACTCACAGTTCAGGAATGCTTCAAAGTGCTTTTTCCATCTATCCAAGCTAGATTAATTGTTTTTGAGGAGCATCAAGCCATTCTGTCATCACAGGAAAGTAGGACTATTGGAAACTGGGTTGTAGATGGCCTTCATTGACTGGAAAAAAAACTATGCATGTTATGTCTGTCAGCAGAGCTGGCATCTCCCTGGCTTTCTTTTGCCACCACTGTTTTTTTATTTCCCAGATCCTCCTTTGAGCTTCTGCTTTGAGAAGCTGGTGTGGAGCTTTGGAGGAGCTCCTTCTGCCGAGATAAGGTGTCATCTGGCCAAAGAAATTAAACCCTTCTCTTCTGGTTGAGGAGGACTTGGATCTCAGTATTGTTCTCATCAAATCAATCTTGATGTCAGTGGGTGGTATAGTCAATGGATTCAGCACAGGCCAGAGGGACAGCAGCTTTAAACCTCTTCTAGAGTTCAATGTTGACTTCATTTGTGGACAAGGAAGAGAAATTTCTGTGGAGGCACTGTTGGAGATTGTTACAAACTTTTAGGTTTTGAAGAGATTTGGTATTGAGAAACCTTTGCTTTGCTCTTTGCTGTTTTTTGTGTTTCAGAGCAAGCCGTATGTTCATGATGGATCTGGCAAGACAGTGATCTGTCCAACAGTCATCAGTTCCTCGTATGACTCATGATAGATATCCAATTGATCACAGGCTCTAACAATAACATAGTCAAAGAGGTGCCAATGCTTAGGGTGAGGGTAGCCCCAGGTGGTCTTGTATTTTGGCACTCTGTTTGAAGATGGTGTTCATGATGCCAAGATCAGGCTCCACACATTTGCTCAGGAGAGAGATGCCATTGGAGTTGGCTTTCCCTATTCCTTCCTTCCAAGTAGTGCTACTCAAGAGTTCTAGGTCACATCCGACTCTGGTACTGAAGTCACTGAGAATAATCTTGTCCTTCTTGTGATAGTGTTACTCAGTAAGTGGTCAAGGTTGGAGCAGAACTGTTCTTCGACATCATCATCAAGCATTGGGGCATACGCACTAATGATAGTGGCGTGTACTGGCTGTTACTGCCTCCATCCTCTTCCCTCATCTTATTGTCTCATCTCATTTAGAGCTGCAACATCGATGGTGTATCTTGCTAGTTCCCAGGAGAGAATAATAGTTCTTCTTTCTGGTAATTCATTGTCTTGGTTACCCACCAAGGTGCAAATGTTCCACATTGCCAAAATCATTGTCTTCTTATGATGCTTTTGACTGCAAAGAGAGTGAGCCTGCTGGATAGCCGGGAGCAGAGCACCTTTTCCAAACCACCCCTCAGTCCCTTCCACAAACCAGCAGTATAAAATTCTAACCCAGAAATAAGCCCTCTGGCTATAGCACCACTTTCCAACTAGTTCAGAGGCCCAGCCCCAGCTCTTTGGCTGCATCACTCAGCTCCCCCCTACCCCGAGTCCTATCCCCACCCCCAAACACACACACACACACACACACACACACACACACACACACACACACACACACACACACACACCCCCCCCGAAGACAAGTCTGCAGCCTACATCAGGTGGATGCTGAAGAGGGCCATGCTCACCAACAGGAGAACGAAGCAGAGCTCTATAAGCTGGTTAGTTACAAAAGACTAAAGCAGCTGGCACCAATTTATGGAGGGGATATAGAATGAGGAGTTCTGGCTGTCCAGTGAAAGGGTGTGATGTGTACAGTCATGTTTCCTGCCCCAGCTTTCTGAGTAGAATGGAGGGTGTTTGGTATTCCCCAAGCTTCTGGGCTTTGCTGGTTGCCACATGGAGCCAGGAAGGATTTTTTTCTTCACTTCAAGTTGCTACATGTGTCAGGGGTTGTCTTTTGCCTTCTTGTGTTGGGCTTTGTTTATAGCCAAGGCTGGCAATTTAGACTGCAGTGCACCAATACTCCTGTTGGGATTAGATCTGGAGGTTCCTAGCTAAAAGAGGTTGCCCCTGTGCTCAGGGTCAGACCAATCAACATATTTGATATCAGGAAGGAATTTTACCTCGTGGTCAGAGGAGTGTGTCTGTATCTACCTGTGTGCATGCAGGGGGGAGGAGGAAAGGGCATAACCTCTTCCTCAGGTCTGTTGAATGCATTTTAAGAACACTCGCAGCAGCAGTGCACTTACCGCCACTGTCCCCTCATTTTACCTGTGGCAAGTTAAGATGCTTTTGCTGTCTTTGGGCAATATGCCTTGTAACTGTGTGACAGGGTTGATTGTGTAGTTTTAAGAATAGGTTAGACAAGAACTTGCATGGGCAAGATGGCAGGTTTATCCCTATCCACACCACAAGCACAGATTTGGACTAGATCAACTCTGGAGGTCCCTTCCAGTCCTACATTTCTTGGATACTATGACTTTTCTGTTATAGCGGGGGTGCCTTGAGGTTAAAAGGGTTGAGAACCATCGATCTAGCTGGTGCCAGGTAAGGACAGTGACAGCAAGCCCCAACCCTGCCACATCCTGCTCTTTTTATGTCAGCCCCCTTCCTGCCACTGGTCTATAAAGGAAAGAAGGACAGCACCTGCCAACAAGGCTGATCCTGCAGGGTCTCATATATTAGTAACTGCCCCCGCAACTCCTCCTGCCAACTTGGGGAGGATGGGAGGAGTAGAAGGTATGAGCTAGGCTGCAAAGTGCAGTTCCAGCCCCAGATCTGCTCATCTGTCCATCCACATACTCATAGCAGAGTACATTGCCGGAAGCAGGGGGGTAACAAGCACAGGAGCTGCTGTGGTGTGGGGGAGGGCAACAGTAGTGGAAATCCTCAGAAGAGCAGCTGCAGACACCGTTTTGAGGAACAGGGAGGACAGCACTTCTCTCCTCACGCAGAGACAGTGCAGTGCATCACCTTCAAATGCATCTGGCAGCACTCTAGGATTGCCCCATTACTGCAGGTGAGAGTCACTACATTTGTATACAAAGGCTAAAATGGTGGACACACACACAATCACTTTCCCCACACACCAACAACAGAATGCCAAGCAAATTAAAACAAAAGTTCCAATTTTTTTTTTCAGAAACCAAGCCTAAAAAGCTATTGCCCCAAAGGGGAATCTTTCAGTAGGCTGTGAACATGCAAGAAGAGCAGTTTTTAGTGGAAGCCTCCACATAACACTACCATAATATGAATCATATCACAGAAAGGAAGTGAAGAAGAGCCCAGTGTCCAATTGAAACTGCAAAAAATAGTTTTAGAAATACGCACACACACACACACACTCCACACTGAGAGAATAATCGACTACACTTTTCTGTAAAAAAAGAAAAAGCCAGGGATTCTAGAACACTAAATGTGTTCAGGTTTGATCTCTTATAAGAGATGGACCACAATGCACCTCACGTAAGCTCAGAACTGATCCTGAATAATATCACAATCTGAGTTACTAACACGAAATTCCTGTCACACCACTTTCTACTCCAGATTAATTTGCATGTGAGTTAACATACTCAGCAGGGAATCAGAGACTAGTTAGACAACTTTATTTTCCCCATAACATGTACGCTGAAGAGTAAGAAATTCTTTAGTGCGGGCAACAGGGCAAGGAATAGCCCTTTTCCTCTGGTGTTACAAAGTTGCGAGTGTAGGGGAGAGTCAGGTCAGGGACAGGGCAAGGATAATTACTTAGTAGGCACAGCTGGGGAAAGGGGCTTTTCTTCACCCCCTGGGGCACAGTGTGAGGAGAATCAGTGGGGAAGGCCAGGAGCAGCAAACCCTGCGTTGGAACAGATCGCCGATAAGACTGACCATGTGAAGGTCAGCAACCAGCAAAACAAAAGAGGTGAGAGAGAGGGGAGATGCTTACCAGGTTGACCCTCGGGCAGTGAGAAGGTCCCACGGACGAAGAATCCCCCTGCAAGGGAAGGAAAGAGAGTGAGACTGGAGGCGAGCTGACCGGCTCAGGGGAGTGGGTTGCATGGCAGTGGAGGGCAAAGGAATATCTGGGGTTATCCACAACCTAGTAGGAATTCACTAATAAAGCAATTTACCTTTATCCTGCTTCTGGGGTGGTTTACTACACCCTCTCTCATTGGGGAATTAACTTCTATTCTTCGATCACATCAAGCCGTGGCAGAAGAACCCCAGGGAGAGAGAAATCATTATTCACCCCCCACACGGCCACAGTGCAATTAAGAAGTGACACTAGCTGGGTTTTGAATCTGCTGTCATGATCTTTGAACACGCATTTCCTCAGGTATCCAAAGGCTGCACTTGCACATTCGAGGCGATGTTGGATTTCTCCACTGATGTCAACTTTCCACAAGAGAAGGCTTCTGAGGTATGGAAAATATTCATTTTCTCTAATCTTACTGTAAACCTGAATTGCTTGAACTAGGGATTGCTCATTAAGAGCTTGTTGGTGGAAGACCTTAGTCTTCTGAATTTTGAGCATCATCCCCATTTTCTTGTATGCTTTTGTAAAGGTGCCGATGATTCCCTGAATATCTGCTTCCAAGTGAACACACACTACAGCATCATCAGCATACCGGAGCTCAATGATTGAGGTTGGGGTGCTCTTGGTTTTTGGCTCAGTCAGCTGAGATTAAACAGTTTACCATCCATTTGGTAATTCCTCAGCCTAGCACCAGGGGGAACGTGCCCAAAAAGAAGTCCTCTTCTCGGTCCAAAGCCCCCATTCCCCAGAAGCAGAGGCAGGCCACCCTGGAACAGTGGGGGAAAGGCAGACAGAAAGAGGGGCACGTTGCAAGGGCAAGCAAGATCACCCAGACCATTGGGAAGATGCTTGCTGTCGATGGAAAGCCCTTCTCCTTAGTTGAACGGCCAGGGTTCAGGTGGCTCATGGCGCTCGTGGCCCCATCATACCAAGTGCCTACATGAACCACTTTTAGCAGGACAGTGGTGCCCTCCCTGTATGAGGCATGCAGGGAGTACTTGAGGGAGGAGCTGACAAGGCAGGTCCACAGGTCACCTTACACTTGAACATCCGGAGCAGCTGGGGTGGAGATCACACCCACCTCCCTCACTGGTGCAACCAATCAGGCCGTCAGTGGGCTCTCCTTCAAGCCGAGGCAATGGATGAGTCCGACACGGCAACCAAGATCACGGGGGCCAGGAACTGTTTGGTGCACGGGTGGCTCATTGGGCAGGGACAGCTCACCCCTGTGCTCATGGTCATTGACAATGGGGCCAATATGATCAAGGTGGTCCGTGATGCCTCGTACTGGGATAGTCTCCCTCGGCATCCAAAGGATCTCTTCCTTTAGAAATGACCACCCTTCCTGGACTCCCATCTCACCAATACTTTTATCCTGCAGTGCCTCCGAGAGCTGCCTTGGAATTCTTGAGGCATCTCTCAGAGGCTGTACAGTCTAGGGACGTGGTTGTCATGGGGGACCTAAACTACCCTGACATATACTGGGAGGAGCAGCCAGCCAAACCCAACGTAGGTTCTTAACCTGTGTGCAGGACCTTCACCTAACGCAGGAGGTATACAGTCCCCACTAGGGGGAATGCCTTACTGAAGTTGGTGTTGGCTATGGGGGAGGACCTGGTAGGGGAGCTGCAGATTCATAGTCACCTTGGGGACAGTGACCACCAATCAATCGAATTCAACATACTGCATAGGGTGGGTAAGATAGCTAGTAGGGTGGAAGTGCTTGACATTAGGAAGGCTAACTTCAGTGTGCTTAGGAGTCTAGTCAATGATGCACTGCAGGATAAGAGTATTGGCGAGATGGGAGTCCAGGAAGGGTAGTCGTTTCTAAAGGAAGAGATCCTTCGGGCACAGGGGGAAACTGTCCCAGTACAAGGGAAAAGGAGCAAAAAAACACCAACTTCCTTGGCTAAACAGGAAAATCCAGGGCAGCCTGAGGGCAAAGGGCAGCCTGAGGGCAAAAAAGAAGGCATATAGACGGTGGAAGCAGGGGGAAGCTACCAAGGAAGAGTATACCTACATGGCTCACACTTGCAGGGAGGAAGTTAGAAAAGCCAAAGCAACTACAGAGCTGAGGCTGGCAACACAAATTAAAAAATAACAAAAAAGTATTTTTTTTTAATGTATGGAGGGAATAAAAGGAAAGTGCAGGGTAGCATAGGACCACTATGGAGTAGGTCCTCAACAAATCTGCTGTAAAACACTGAAAGGAAGAGGGCATTAGGAACAACCACCATGAATTTGGCAAAATCAAGTCATGCCTGACCAACCTGGTTTCCTTCTGTGCTAAGGTGACAGGCTCTATGGATGAGGGAGGAGTAGTGGATGTGATATACTTCAACTTCAGCGAGGCTTTTGACACAGTTTCTCATGACATTCTCATTAATACCTAAGGAATTACAGATTAGGTGTAAGGTGGTACTGTACGGTGGATCCATAATTGGTTGGATCATTGTGCTCAATGAGTACACATCAATGGCTCAGTGTCTACTTGGAGGTATCAACTGAGTTTCTCCAGAGATCTGTCCTGGGTCTGATTATTCTTTAATATCTTCCTTGATGATTAAGCTGTTAATAGTGAAGATGAGACTGTATGTATACTTAGCAAATTTGAAGACAGCAAGATGGGTAGAATTTATAGACCATCTGGAGGGTAGGGCTGGGATCCAGAATGCCCTAGATAGACTGGAAAAATGGTATGTAATCATGGGCAGATCTAGGATTTTGAAAAGATGGTGTCGTTCATCATTGCAGGACCCCTTGTTCAAGACCCCTACTGAACAAGAAGAAGCAATTAGTGACAGACGGGGGGACAAGGCTGAGTTATTCAATGAGTTTTTTGCCTCGCTGTTCCTGAACAGAGGTCAAGATAAGTGTCCTAATGGGTTTGTAGATGGGCATCAGAGGGACACCAGCCCACCAACTGTCAACACTGACTTGGTGCAGAGTCACTTGGATGGACTGGATGTGTTTAAGTCAGCAGGTCTGGATGAGCTGCATCCAAGAGTGCTGAAGGAATTGGCTGCTGTCATAGCAGAACCACTGGCACGACTGCTTGAGCGCTCGTGGCGCTCAGGTCAGGTCCTGGAGGACTGGAAAAGGGCTGATGTGGTCCCTATTTTCAAGAAGGGGATGAAAGAGGATCTGAGTAATTATAGGCCAATAAGTCTCACCTCCATCCTTGGAAAGGTCTTTGAAAAGTTTATGAAGGATCATATTTGTGGGAGTTCAGTGGGAAAAATAATGCACCAGGAAACCAGCATGGATTCGTAGCAGGTAGATCATGCCTGACCAATCTGGTTTCACTTTATTACAAGGTCACAAAATGCTTAGAAGCAGGAGTAGTGGTGAATGTCATTTGCTTGGATTTTAGCAAGGCCTTCAATACAGTATCTCATCCCATTCTCATAAATAAATTAAGAGGCTGTGATATAGGCGGTTACATGGTCTGGTGGGTGGCAAATTGGCTTAGCAGTTGCACCCAGGGAGTGGTAGTAGATGGGTCAGTATCGACCTGGAAGGAGGTGGGTAGTGGGGTTCCACAGAGGTCTGTCCTGGGATCTGTACTCTTCAATATCAGTGACTTGGATGTGGGTGTGAAGGGTACTCTGTCCAAGTTTGCAGACAATACTAAATTGTCAGGTGAAATGCACACTCCAGAGGGTAGGGAATGATTGCAGGCAGACCTGGATAGGTTAGAAGAGTGGGCAGTACACAGTAGGATGCAGTTCAACAAGGACAAGTGCAGAGTGATGCAGGAAGGGCACAAAAATATCCAGCACATCTACTGGCTGGGAAGTGACCCTCTCAGCAGCACAGAAGCAGAAAGGGATCTCGGAGTCATAGTGGACTCCAAGGTGAGCATGAGTCGTGGGTGTGATGAAATCATCTGCAAAGCTAACCACACTTTAATCATGTATCAGCAGATGCATGACAAATAGAAACAAGGAGGTGATACTTCCCCTCTATGTGGCATTGGTCAGACTGCAGTTGAAGTACTGCGTCCAGTTTTGGGCACCTTACTTCAAGAAGGATGTTGATAAACTCAAGAGGGTCCACAGGAGGGCCACTCATATGGTTAGGGACTTATAGGGCAAGCCCTACGAGGAGAGACCGAGGGACCTGGACCTCCTCAGCCTCTGCAAGAGAAGGCTGAGAGGTGATCTTGTGGCCGCCTACAAATTCATTAAGGGGATGCAGCAAGGGATCAAAGATGCTCTGTTCACCAGGGCGCCTCTTGGGGTAACAATGGTCACAAATGAATAGAGAGCAGATTTAGGCTAGATATCAGGAAAAAACTTCTTCACAGTAAGGGTGGCCAAAATTTTGAATGGGCTTCCAAGGGAGGTGGTGCTCTCCCCTACCTTGGGGGGCTTTAAGAAAAGGCTGGATAGGCATCTGGCTGGGGTCATCTGATCCCAGCACTCTTGCCTGCCTAGGCAGGGGGTCAGACTTGATGATCTGTTGAGGTCCCTTCCAACCCTAGCATCTATGAACTTTGTTGGTACCTACTTTGTGTCACAAGTTGCACCTCATCAGTGTTGAGTATTATCAAAAATTATAGATAAAGCATGAGTGAGTGAATTAATATGGTTTCAAGCATACCCAGTCTACTGAGAAAGCAGTCTTGAGAACAGAAAGATAAGAACAAATAAACCATCTACAAGAAGATTAGAACAAGAGCAGACTCCCTGTCTCAGGAGGGGAGCGATTCCTCACCTCCATCCATCTGCATACCTAAGCCATGACGTATGTAACCAAAAGACTGTGAGTTTTGATGAAGTCAACTCAGCTCAACAGGAACAAGGTGACTGACTGCGTGGGTTGTCAGAGGCACCGCAGCAGTCTGTTTGGATAAAAAGGCAGTGAAGACCAGGCCCCGACGACACATACCATTCCACATCAACCCAGTGTCCCTCCCATAAGACATAAGATCATCGTGTCCAGAAGCACCACAA